AGAAGAAGAAGAAGAAGAAGAAGAAGAAGAAGAAGAAGAAGAAGAAAGAAAGAAAGAAAGAAAGAAAGAAAGAAAGAAAGAAAGAAAGAAAGAAAAGAAAAGAAGAAAAAAGTAATAAATATGTTGTGTTCTGATGAGAATCAGGGGCTGAGTACCACAACACAAATTTCAGACCTGTGACGATATAGAAAAAGTTTTCTGTTCTCACTTTAGAAACATTTACTGAAAATTAGGAGATCCAATATCCTCTTCTTGCCCCTGCAGGCACTAGAAAAGTGATGCATAAAATACAACACCATTTTGTGGGCGAACTATATTTTAGCAACTCTAAATCTTTGTTCCATGTTCCTATTCACGACATCTGAATAAAATATTACAGGAAGGTCTCATTGGAAAATGCTTCCATTCTGATTTTGTCCTCAGGTGGCAAGAACTAGGATTTAAAGCTTGAGTCCTGGTTTTCTCATGAAGAAGACATCTGGACTTCTTCTGAAGGAATTTTTACATCACAGCATATGTACATTGAAAGAGAGGTCAGGTTCAAACATACCACAACAGTTGTAGCTTCAGTAAGTCTGTAAGGGTCAGTACAACTTAGAGAAGGACAACCGTGGTCTCAAGAGAGGCTAAAGAGAAAGGTGTTAGAGTTGGAGAGATGGCTCAGTAGTTAAGAGCACTGGCTAATCTTCCAGATTAGCCTGGGTTTAAGTCCTAGCACCCGTAGGGTGGCTCACAACTGTCTCTAACTCCAGCTCCAAGAGACTGGATCCCTAGTATCTTGGGTTGGAATGCCTTGCATCAGCAGCCACCAGACAAGTAATACCTAGACATAAATACAGATAAAACAATCATACACATAAGATGAAATATTTTTTTTAATGAAAGACTGTCAACGAAGAACATTATACTATTTTAGGTAAATGGATATGTTAGAGAAAACAATTCTTGGCAAATTGTGTGGAGTCTTGTCTTAGGGTTTTATTGCTGTGAAGAGACACCATGACCACAGCAACTCTTGTAAAGGAAAACATTTAATTGGGGCTGACTTACAGTTTCAGAGTTTTAGTCCATTATCATCATAGTAGGAATCACAGTGGCATGCAGGTAGAAATGGTGCTGGAGAAGGAGCTGAGTGTTTTACATCTGATTTCACTCACAGTTCCATATAAGAGTTCTTTATCAAAAGCAATGAGAGAAGGAACTCAAGAAGAAACCTGGAGGCAGGAGCTGATACAGAGGCCACGGAAAGATGCTGCTTACTGGTTTGTTCCTCATGGCTTGCCCAGCCTGCTTCCTTATAACACCCAGGACCACCAGCAAAGGAGTAGCCACAACCTCAATAAGCTAGTCCTGCCATATCAATCACTAAGAAAATGCCCTAGATACTTGCCTACTGCTAGACCTTACGGAGGCATTTTCTCAATCGAGGCTCTCTCCTCTAAGATGACTTTAGCTTGTGTGAAGGTGATATAAAACTAGTCACTACAGCACCCAAACACTGTGTTTGGACTGCTTAGTAAAAAGGAAGTGAACTTCTTAGCAGTAACTAGTATGTACACTTTGAACTAACCTTTAACACTGACCAAAATTTGGACCTATCATTCTTTAAAACAAGGAAGAATTGGTTTCTTATAGTATGAATTCTTTTTTCTAATTGTAATTTTAATGGCTACCCCAATCATTCATTTGCTGATAAATAGTATCATAGAGGCTTTTGTCAGAATTCCTACCAGAAGACCCATTTATGCATCTGATGTGAGAGATGTCTTAGATACTGGAGATTGAACAGATCATTTCTCACTAGACTACCCTGTCTGTCAATTGACAATTGGCTGGAGCAGAGTCCCCAAAGGTGTGAGGGAAGACATATTTGTGTCATGTTCTGAAATACAACATTGAGTTGTTTTTCCTAAAGATTATTGTGTTTTGAAGGATTAATTTGTTTTTATTTTACACATGTGAGTGTTTTGCCTGCATGTATGTGTACATCGTGAATAATGCCCATGTCCATGGAGGTGACAGATCACCTGGAACTGGATCTGCAGATGGTTGTGAAACACCATGTGAGTGCTGGAAACCAACTTGGTTCTTTGGTAAGAGCAACAAGTGCCTTTAAACACTAAGCCATTTTACCAAACCCTACTCTAAAGATTCTTGCCTGTTCCTTTTTCTGTGACCTCAGTGCTTTGTTTTCTTTTGACTCCTCTGTCTCCTTCTGACACCACCCTTATTTGCCTAGAAGTCTAGGGCAGGGGATGGGAAAGGAGGACAGTCTTTTAATAGGCATTTTTGGGTGGGAGTTGGAAAAGTTTTCAACGTTTAGGGAATTAACAGTAAGAGGTTATTAGTGGGTCAATATTCCTTGAGTCCTTTTGTTGGGAGCAAGCAAAAGAAAGTTATTCTAATTACTATCATTTCATTTTCAGACTCCATTTAATCGTAGAGAGAAACTAAATTCAAGACCCCAGCCTTAGGCAAGCTGGGAACGTCTAAATAGCTGAAATGCTTCTTTTAAAAGGAAACAGTTGTCTGAGTACAGACATTTAAAGGACAACTTCTCCATCTTGCTGGCAGGGTCAAACTAAGTTCTTGTTCCGAGGCCCAGAAACCTACTCCTAACCTGATTGGTGAAAACTCCCTTGCTCAATCCCTTATGTCAAATATGATTGGACACAGCTACAGCCCACCCCACTCCCCCTTGCTTTATGATTTCATCCTTTAAATATGTTGTGCAATGTCCCTTCAGGGTCATAGTTCAGTTCCTGACTCTGTTCTGCAGCCCTGATTGATCAGTAGCAGCTTGATTACAATAATTTTTGTCATCTGCATTGACCTGGTATTTGAGTTATATTGGATTTATGTTGGATTTAAATGGACCGACAACACTTTGAGGAAGAAAATAAAACATACTCCGCAGTTCCTCCACTCTTAGTTTGGAGGTGAGGCAGGGGTGGCAGGGGTGACTAAGAGTCCCAAAGACCAGAACTCCAAGAGCCTGGAGAGTAATTTCTCCTTGTGTCCTTGTGGGGAGATGGGAATTAATCTAAAAGAACCATCATGACTCAGATGTGGAAGATTGTGGAGAAGAACACTCTGCTCTGGAAATAAATCTATTGTCTTTTGTTCATAATCACATGTTACAGGTAAAAGAGAACTCTACACAGTTTTCCCAAGACAGATAGCTAGATTTGATGTTTATTTTTTTAAGAGTTTCAGCAATTGCCTTTTTGAGTTATGATAGGGAAAAAAATCCATTCACACAAGTATAAATTCCACATTCAAATTTTCTCAGATTTAAAAATTGATTTGTGAAATTTGATCTTAAATATTTACAGGTAAACAAGTCAGATTCATAAAATACAAAATATCTCAAATATATTAAATTATATTGTCAAAATAATATTAGAAGAATGTATATTTAATGCAACCAATTCTTTTAATTTTCAAAAATTGTTTGAAATACTATATTTGAATCAGTACATTATTTTAAAAATTGTTAACTTTTAGTGATATCTTTTACACAGAGAATATTTTAAAAGAAATCAGAGAGAAAAGATAGTAGCATTATAGTAGGAGAAAAGGAAGAAAAATGTAGAGGTAACTTTTTTAAAAAACTGGAAATATAGAGACAGAAGGATCCCCGGGCTTGAATATGTGGTTAACAACTGTAGTTCTTAGTTCTGTCTTTACTTTTAGTTTCAAGCTAGAACAAGCCTGCTTCCAGTGGGGTGCAAGAGAGAAAACTTAATACCCACCATGTCATGTCTTTGTGGGATATCTTCATGTCTTTTTTTTTTTTTGAGATCTGTCTGTTCATATTGCTTCCCCTCTATGTAATTAATTTTGTTACAGAGTTTTCTGAGTTATTCATGGATCCTGGATAGTACTCATTTTCCAGATAACGAATTAATTATTTTGGCATCACTGTGGTCAGAATACCTCATAGAATCCAAAGAAGGGATTGATGTTTTGATTTTTTTGTTTGGTTTGGTTTGGTTTGGGTTTGGGTTTATGATTCCCTAGCTCCAGTCTCCTGTGACCAGCTTTGCCTGAGCAGAACATCGAGGTGGTGGGGGTGCCGGGGTCGAGCAGAACATCAAGGTCATGTGGATGCTGGGGAATGTAAAAGCAGCTGCCATTTTTCCCACGGTGGAAGATAAGCAGGAAGAAAAACAAAGGAAGGAGCTAGGGCAGGATACAGTCCAAGGACACAATGACGTGCTCACAGCCCCTCTTCCTCTAAATAGATCACGCCCTATTTTCCATTCCCCCACACACAATGAAATGAAATCATGGGATTAATCCAATGATCTGGTCAGTGATAAGGCATGTGAGTTATTACCTCTCCTCCACACAGTACTATTTAGAAATGGGGCAGGAAGTAATGATTAACCTTGAATACTTGAATACTACAGTTGCGTATTCTGTCCTGTTACTGAGTACCCAGTGATAGCAGGAAGATCAGAAGGCAGAGCCTGCAGAATGAATCCCAAGCGCTATGTGGAACTAAATGACGGCCACCACATTCCTGTGCTTGGCTTCGGAACCTTTGCCCCAGAAGAGGTAAGGATGAAGAAAGAAGCATCAAGCTGAAAGAGAACAAGGAGGGGTATGTGGGAGGGTTTGTGGGGAGGAAAAGGAAAGGATAAAACTAGACTGTAATCTCAAAATTTTTAAAGTTTAATAAGATTATACATTTAACCTTATTTTAAAAGTAAAATAAAATGTTTCTCAGTTCTGCACAATTCTATGTATGTATTTGAGTTAAAAACTGGTTCCCTATACTAATGATCTGAAGACTTTTCTCTGCACTTCCTTCCCGTGGCGTCGTGTGGTTTCAGGGTAATACAGTGCTGCTTCAGTTACTATGGCTTAGTAGCCTGTCATGAAATTCAAAACTACAATGAGATAAACTTTCACCTTTGAATAGTTGTTACTAAAGGACAGCAAAAAGCAACACTAATGGGGGTGCAGAAAAAACAGAGCACTGGTTTTTTTTTTTCATACACTGCTGGTGGGAATGCAAATTAGTTCAAACACTAAAGAAAACAATATAGAAGGTCCTGAAAATAGAACATTTATATGATCTAACCATAACCTCTTCCATCTATAAAAGGAAATAAAGTTCGTATGCTGGAGTCATTGCTCTCATTAGTAACAATTATGAAATGTTGTTTATCAAACAATGGATGAATATGTTGCTGAAGGCACATACACACAGAGAGTGGGGGATTGTTCAGCCACAAAAAAAGTTAAATTTGTCATTTTTACAAAGTGCATGAATTGGAAGATGTTTTAAAAATAAGTCAGACACAAAAACCAAATACATATAAAAACTACATTTGTTTTAATTACATTTGTTAAATGTAGAATAATGGTTCTTAGGTTGGAAAGAGGTAGCAAAACATGGATAAGGGTTAAGTTCTGGCATCTCAATAGAATGGTGACTATCGTTTGCAGTGATATACATATATTTCAGTAAAGGGGATTGAACCTAAGCCCTTGAACATGCTAGGCACATACTCTATCATGGAAAGCTATTGCATACATCACCAAGCTTAGCACCAAAGCCCTACATTTTGAGACAAGATTTCACTGTGTTGCTCAGTCAGTTCTTGAACTCAGGAATCTCCTTCCTCAGTCTGTGCCACCAGGTCTGGCTTTATTTTATTACTATTTGGAAGAGAGTAGCTCAAAGATCTTAAATGAACTATAAAGGAAAGGGAAATGCATCCACAGTGTCTATTTTCAAATTAGACCCTGGAAACCTTAATTTTCATTATTTTATAATAGAGAAGAATGCCAAATTTTTTAACTGTTTGCACAAAGAACAGAGTTTGTGAATGTCTGCTTTCCTTTGGGAGAGTGACGTTTTAGGGTGTTCTGACAGAATATCTCTATGTAAATAATTAGGAATTGGGAAATAATTAGGATGTCTCAGCTAAGTAATTAGGAATTGAGTCTCTCCACAGCTTTCCTGAAAGCAATATACTCATGCATTCTCTAGGCACAACATGGTGGGAATTAAGTGTGTTCTGTGTGGAAGTAGGAGAGACTTCCAACATTCCTTTCTCAGTATCTCTTGAAGTGTACACTGTCTTGGCTAGTCTTACTTTATAACGGCTTTATTCTTGGGCTGAAAACTTTTCTCAGATGCCTTTAAGAAGAAAAGACCCAGTCAAACCTGGGTAGAGACATCACCCTGAAGACAGAACTCATGCCACACAGCAGAAGCATGTAGTTTGTAAATAGCTAGATGTTCCAGAATCAATTCATTCATACGGATCTCAAAGTACTCTTTTTGGTTGCTGTTCTAGGTTCCCAAGAGTATGGCTATGGAAGCCACCAAGATAGCTATAGGAGCTGGATTCCGCCATATTGACTCAGCTTATTTCTACAAAAATGAGGAGGAGGTAGGGCTGGCCATCCGAAGCAAGATTGCTGATGGCACTGTGAAGAGAGAAGATATATTCTACACTTCAAAGGTACTGTGCGCCTGAGTGCGAACGAATGAAATTGGTGTGTTGATATTTATATGATTTGATCAGTAGATAAATTAGGCATATTGGTCTGTTGTTTAGTTACATATGTTCAATCAGTGCTGAAAACAGGAGACTGATGATCTCTCCTCACCACTGTTTGAATTTGCAGCTTTAGTGTAAAATTGCTATTTTTTTAGTCTTAAAGCAGTGTGATCTAACATGGACAGAGCTATGATAAGACTATGGTTTCCTAATCTCTTGGGTGACTGATATTTCTTAAGATTCTTGACATCCAATTTTTGCTTTCATCAGTGATAGAGAAGAAGAAAATCTTTCTTCCTGAGTATCTCATAAAACATTGCTAGAGTCTTGTATTGTGTCTAATACATATCAAAATCTCAGCAATATTTTCTTTCTCTTATGTAAATGATAGGAATATTAACTCTTTCTCATTGAGTGAATAGATAAAGGAATTAGATAGAAGCCTCCATTGTAAACTCTTGCTAACTATATCTCAGAGATTGGTTGTTACTGTTATTATATCCAATTTTTACACAAATATTAATAATTCCCTTCTACTGTCCTGTTTATTTACTAATAAAGTTCAAATATATATCAAAGTTGACATTATTGGTTAGACAACGGAAAACTCAAGATCTGGCAGAGTATTTTTGCTCTGTGGTCATCAGTTTCCGATCAGTTTTAAAAGTCTCAATTTTCACTCTTTAACATTTGCAGCTTCCCTCCACATGTCATAGACCAGAGCTGGTCCGGCCTTGCTTGGAACAATCACTGAAAAAGCTTCAGCTGGATTATGTTGACCTTTATCTCATTCATTTCCCAGTGTCGATGAAGGTAAGTAACCAGCATCTTCATCGTGACGAAAATTTCATTGGTGGATTTATTTAGACCTAAGCAAATAGAAATGCATGTATGTATCATGGAAACCATTCAAGATAATTCATGGGAAAGGCAAGGAACCCAAATCATGGTAGATTGATGGATCTGGGAAAATCTTGAAAAATGTGTCTACACACACACACACACACACACACGCACGCACACACATTGACCTTTTACTACAGCTTTGTCTTTTGTTCCAATCCCCACACACACATTGGTAGCAAATATGGCTTGTTCAGGGTTCAAGGTTGTTCATATTCAGTACCTTATCTACATCTTCCTGCATAAACATTAGTCTGATTTACTCTTTATCCTCATTTCAAAATGTAGGCTCTTTTTACTTTTAATCTTTTGGTTTTTAAGTTAATCTCTTTACTTTTAGTTTTGTTTGTTTGTTTGGCATAGGTCTAGCTTTGAACTTGCTATGTAGCCAAAACTAACATTAAATCCAGATCCTTTTGCCTTCATATGCTGGGATTATGGTATGCGCTATCGTGGCCACTGGTTCACTGACATCTGATAACTACACAAAGTTAGGCAAGTGACAGGAGCAAAAATGGTGTTTTAATAAAAAAGTGGGGTCTCCAAAGGAAGAGCACTGTGCTGGCAGATCATACATTCTTAGTTTTCACAGATTCCAGCTATGTTGACCTGCTGGCCTTGACTGCAGCTTTGGATTGTCTTTTTTTAATCTTCTGAGTGCTGGGATAACAGTGTACATCAGCACACCCAGCTCATACTGAATGGCTTTGAACTTTTTGTTGCAACTGGCTGGTTTACAGTCATTCCTTAAAATCTATGACTTTATTCTCATCGATAAATGTCAATAAGAATATTACAACATAACTCACAGAGAAGAAAATAGATTCAATGAATTGATATAGTGTCTGGAATGTGGCCAGTACTTGGTAAATGTATGTGTTTTAATATTTGTAAAATAATATGTAACAAAACAAATAACTCTTACTCTGTGTCTAGCAATAATGGCAATTGTACCCATCTTGATATTGTTTAGTCAACAAAAAATGACATTTGACTATTGATATCTTCCCCATGATTCAGTCTTCTTTGTATGACCCTTGACATACTGAACTAAAAATAAAGAAAACCAGAAACAAAAAGCTTAAGACCAAACACAGAATGACAGACGTAAGCCAGAAATGGTGGTGTTTGAGAGACACTAGTTGAGGTTAGAAAAATATTTGCTCATTAGGATGTTTAATCTTATACCTGGAAAACAGATTCCTCAATAAACACATGCAGCATTCTGAAAAGAATCCAAACCCAAGGAATTAATGGGTCACACTTACTAGGTGGACACAGCTGAGTGTTGTTGCTATTGACTTTTTTTCTGACTTATCTTTGATATTTAGAGAAAACTAATCTAAAGAGTTATTCTGACCCCAGCATCTTTCATGTTTTCTTTCTTCTTAGTTCATACTTCTTATAACTGAAGATAAAAAAGGTCCACAGACCCAGCCTGCATTTATTCATTTATTCACTTGCTTACTTTTGAGACAAGGTCTCACGTAGCTCACCAGTGAGTGGAGGGTGAGCTTGAACTTCTCATCCTTCTATCCCCATCTCCTAAGATCTGGAATTACAGCATGTGCCACCATAGTTGACACAGGCAGTGTTGGGGATTGAATCTAAGGGCTTGTGCATGCTGTATCACACACTCTACCTACCAGCTAAGCTGTATCTCCAGTTCCTTGATGGAAAATGTTTAGCTGCCATGTCTAACCTTTGACCTTTGACATCATGCTTAGGGAAATTAACACTGATGGGAACACTGTAACCATGTCAAGACTGCAATTTCTTATTTGCTGGAGACCATGATCATGTAACTACTGACTCTCTCAGTGGCAGACAGATGTTTCTCTGGGAGAAATCACACTGGTATTAAACAGTGTTGCAGGTCAAAAAGACCTAGGAAATGTTGTCAATTAACACATATAATAGGTGTAACAGAAGAAAAGACATCTGTCACCTTCTTACAACTTCATAGGCAAAATCTTTTGCAAATATAAACCTAATTTATAAAAATTATGAAACCTAATATACATATATTATATACATTGCTATAGGGACAGTCATGAAATTGGTGAGATGGTTATAATGGTTGTTTCTATTCCAGCCAGACAATGATCTTTGTCCAACATATGAAAATGGGAAATTATTATTTGACACAGTGGATCTACGTGACACATGGGAAGTGAGTATCGAGATAAAGAGCACAGGGGAAGTTAAGGAAGGGAGGCAGGTCTCCACTTCACATGTGAGAGTCAGGAGGCAGGTCTCCACTTCACATGTAAGAGTCAGACATGCATCTTTAGATCAAGAAACTTATATCTTTACTAGGGTTATTCTGTTGCTGTGGGGAGGAAGATGTTATTGGACTATATTAAGAGACAACTGGGAAAGCATTGGGGGAAATACACTCCACTATGTGCAATAGACTCTCTGCCTCCTGAGGAGAACAAAGGCATCCTTTCTGTCATCTTCTGCCCATATTCAAACTGGTTTCTCTCTTCTTAATAACTAATGCAGCTAGCTTTATTTTCCTTCCCTGTCTGTGTTCTTTCTAGCAATACAACATTGCATTTATAACCATCCATGAGCACCTTCATAAAGTATTCTTTACTACCTTCCCCTACCCCAGGCCATGGAGAAGTGTAAGGACGCAGGGCTAGCCAAGTCCATTGGGGTGTCCAACTTTAACCGCAGGCAGCTGGAGATGATCCTGAACAAGCCCGGGCTCAAGTACAAGCCTGTGTGCAACCAGGTGGGTGCTGTGTGTGCGTGCGTGCGTGAGTGTGTGTGTGTGTGTGTGTGTGTGTATTCCTGAACACATAAGTACAACTTACTCAATTTACATAGTGTTACTTGTATGTATGTTTTCAAGGCTGACCATTGTATAAACAACTGATGTACTGATGTATTTAAAAATAACTTATTTTTCTAATTTTGTGTGTATATGTGTATGAATGACATCTTTTTTTGTCTTTTCTGTTTCTCTCTCTCTCTCTTCTCTCTCTCTCTCTCTGGGGGAGGGGGTGCAGGCATGCTATGCTATATGATTCATGTGTGGATGTCAGAGATCAACCTTGTGGAGTTGGCTTTCTCTTTTCACCTTTATGTGAGCTCTTGAAATTGAACTCAGGTCCCACCAGACATGTGTGGCAAGCTCCTTTACCTACTTCTCACTGCTTTGACACCCAAGTATACCCAAATGTCCTCTTAGGCAAAATCCCTACCAAAGTCACTCTTTTGTCCTTCATTCCTGCCCTCATGCGTCTTCACCTAAACTTTTGCTTTATTGATACAGTTCAAAATCCAAAGTTCAGTGAGCGTCTTTCCCATGTAGCATCTGTAATTCTTTTCTCTGAGTTTTATCTGCATTCTATGGTACAGAGTTAATTCGCCTTTGTAGTGGTGAATTAGTTAAATCGCTTTGACTCTGACAGGGTCAAGAGCGCCACTGAATCCACCCAAGAGCTCTCTGGATTGACAGATGAAAGACACACACACACCAGCTAATTTTGATATAACTAGATCATCGGCTGGGCACTTCTACACCTCCCCCAAGGCTAGCAAACACTCCCCATCTGGTATTCCTGAGTTAACATTTTTTAATCTATATTTCATCTCTGCTACCCCAAACCCAACTGGAGAAGTGGTTTGCCCTTCCTCCCTCCCTCCTCCTCCTCCTCCTCCTTCTTCTTCCCATCTCCCCTCTCTCCTCTCTCTCCTCTCCCTGCCCAGCCATTGGCTGCACAGCAATCTTTATTATCAACCCAAGCCAGCTGGGGGCAGGGACCCTCAGGTCTGGACGCACAGCTTTTTGGGAACTGAAGTAAGACAAAGCATTAGAACCAATTCCCAATCTGCCTTAGCAATGTTTTTACTTTTTTCAAAAAAACTTATTATTGATTCTTTATGAATTTCACATCATGCACCCCACCCAAATCTCAATAATCTCCCCTTCCCTTCATATCTGTCCTCGGAACTTCCCCCCAAAATAAAATTTAAAAAATAATAATAAAACAAAATCTCACTGTGGAGGCAGTGATGTGTCACAGTCTGTCACACACACACACACACACACACACACACACACACACCCCATTTCGTCCGCATAGCTTTACTTGCGAATTTTCATTACAACAAGTCACTGGTCTGGTTGGACGTCTCTGGCTTCTGCTGCACTATCATACTGGATCCTCACCCGGACTCTCCTCAGATGTCCTGTTGTTGCACTGTGTCATGGAAGTCCTGCAGCTTTGGATCTGCAGGACCAGCTCCTTTATGTACTCCAGCAGTTCATAGATAGGGGAGATGATGGAGTGGACCAACTCAAAGTCCTGGATCTGGGCCTGGGTGGTAGCTGAGTTGGTCAGCCCATGCAACAGCTCTCCCACACCCACACCACCAGGGCAAGCTCTTTAGCACTGCCTAGGCTAGCTCACCAAACGCTGCAGCAGGCAAGGGGCAGGGCCAGCTCTCCTGCTCTCACCATCTCAAACCGTATCACCTGCACCCAGCAGGGGTCCTGTACCCAACAGCTCTACTGTACCCAGGTGAGGTGCGGAGTCCACTCTCTGGAGCGCTGTAGCTAGCAAAGCGCCGAGCCAACTCTTCCAAGTGCCATAGCCTGTGAAGGGTGAGACCAGCTCTGCCCAGCTCTTGGATATCAACATGGTCCCAGGCAGCAGCTCAGACCAGGGACATCCACATGGCCTTTGGTGGTAATGTGGGACCCTGATACTGTATGGCCATAGACCCACACATGGCTCTCAGCTGCAGCAGTGTCAGGACCTCACTACGGCCTCAGGCGGCAGGACAGGCTACTCACACAGGCTATCTCTCCACCCGCGGCTCTCCAGTTCCGCCTCTTTTCATAGTGCTTAAACCATTCCACTTCTCTCTCTCTCCCGTTCCTCCACTGCATACTTCCACATTTGTATTGACTCGCTCTGTGGGCCGCCCACACTGCAAGCAGGAAGGAGGGGGGTAGGGGAGGCAGGGAGAGGGGGGCAGACAGGCAAGCCTCTGGGTGACTTCAGTCCGCCTGCTCTGAGGCCTGCTCTTACTTTTAAACAGAGGATTATTACTTGCAGTTGAGGTTTTCTATTCGGATTTCACACAGTATAGACTTTTCAATTCAGCATCTTTTACTTATGAACACTTCTTTTTCATGGTCATGAGAAGTTTTCTACAGTCTAGTATCTTTCTATCTTGTCCACCTACAGGTAGAATGTCATCCTTACCTGAACCAGAGCAAGCTCCTGGATTACTGCAAGTCAAAAGACATTGTTCTGGTTGCCTATGGTGCTCTAGGCACCCAACGATGTAAAAAATGGTAATAAAGATTGTTAACTAAAGCTGGACCATGGCGGTGCATACCTTTAGTCCCAGCACTTGGGAGGCAGAGGCAGGGGAATCTCTGAGTTTCAGGCCAGCCTGATCTACAGAGTGAGTTCCAGGACAGCCAGGGCTACAGAAAGAAGCCCTGTCTCAAAAAGAAAGAAAGAAAGAAAGAAAGAAAGAAAGAAAGAAAGAAAGAAAGAAAGAAAGAAAGAAAGAAAGAAAGAAAGAAAGAAAGAAAGAAAGAGAGAGAGAAAGAAAGAATAGAGAGAGGGAGGGAGGGAGGGAGGGAGGGAGGGAGGGAGGGAGGAAGGAAGGAAACAAACAAAAAATCATTGTCACACATAAGACACATATAAAATATTTTCAGTTTTACAATTCTGAGGGTTTTCTTTTTTTAATGAATGAATTCAACAAGCTCAAAAAGGAGGGAAAATCGACAACTGAAAATATTCCAGATGATGCTAGCCTCACTGGGTTAGGGATCATATTTAAGAGTCCTGGGTCTAGAGTGAGCCCATCCATTTGTTCTGTAAGCCTCCTATCACATTAAATCCTGACCTCAAGCAGCCGTCATTCCTTTCTCTTCAGGATAGAGGAGAATGCCCCAAATCTCTTGGAAGACCCAACTCTTTGTGCCATGGCAGAAAAACACAAGCAAACTCCAGCCCTGATTTCCCTCCGGTATCTGCTGCAGCGCGGCATTGTGGTTATCGCCAAGAGTTTCAGTGAGAAGCGGATCAAAGAGAACATAAAGGTGAGGAGGAGAAGGCTGTGGGCATCAGGGCTGCACAATGTCTCTCCCACGGAGGCCTCTTGTGAGCTCCCTCCCAGTTGAGTGTCTGTCCCTGGCACTGCCTGGGCATGTATGCTTCACGCGTAAGCACTAGCGTTTTCCTCTCTACACTAGCATTCTGGATTCACGACTGTCGTACGCACGAGCGTTTTCCTCTCTACACTAGCATTCTAGATTCACGATTGTCGTATGCACGAGCGTCTTCCTCTCTACACTAGCATTCTGGATTCACGACTGTACAGGACTGAGATGGGCTCGGTTTCAGCTTTAAGTTAGCAATGTGCTCTCAAGCTTTATGCAAATGAAGATCTGTCATTCAATCCCTGAAACGAAGGAACTGGACCATGTGATTTTCAGCCCACATTAAAAACTCATGTTATATGTCCTTGATGCTCATAAAGAAGAGTATTCAAACACTGCTCCATCCGTGGGTTATCTTTATTTTTTTATTTTATTTTATTTTATTTTATTTTTTTGGTTTTTTCAAGACAGGGTTTCTCTGTGTAGCCCTGGCTGTCCTGGAACTCACTCTGTAGACCAGGCTAGCCTCGAACTCTCGAACTCAGAAATCTGCCTGCCTCTGCCTCCCAAGTGCTGGGATTAAAGGCGTGAGCCACCACTGCCCGGCTATCTTTATTTTCAAGTAAGAAAATACTGTTGCCTATAACAGTTATCCAGTCAACCAGCTTCAATATACAATTTTAAAATAAAATGAAATTAATAAATTGATGCTTTTATTCCCTGTTTCTCCCTCTGGAGTTTCTCTATGCAGTCCAGGCTAACCTCAGACTCACTGCCTTTAGCCTCCAGAGAGCTAGGATTACAGGTGGGCTCTGTACTCAGTGTAGGACCGGATACTTGAAAACTCTTCGTGTCTAGGCATAAAACTACCACTCTGTCGTTTTCATTCTCCAGGGATCATTGTAAATACAGGCCAGGCAAAACTCAAGCAATGGGGAGACAGATGCCACCCAATGCTGGCAAAACTCACTTGGATGGTCTCGTAATGAGTGAAAATTGTTTTGATCCTTAAAGCGTTAGAAATTTAAATAATGACATCCTTTTTGAGGCAGCTCCTGAATCTTTTAAACAAAGTATCATTGGCATTTGAGAAATTTCTGATTACATAAGAAATTTTCACATTCTGATCACTTACTTATTGGTTGGATATACACAGCTGAGGGTATCTACAAAAATGATTGCTATCTCATATATGTTAAAAATAAAAGTGGTCATTAGATTCCTCTGGATCTTGCATGAAATTTGTCCTGTGATCTTTGCATATGACAGATGTGTTTCTTCTCCAGACTCTTTTGAGTTCTGATTTTTGCCCGTAGTATTATGGTTTCAATATATTATACATAGTAATATACTTGCATTCAACTTTTATTTGGAACTCACTAATAGTTTTATTTGATCTTAGCCCAAAGGCTGAGAAGCATTTCATTAATAATTTGAACCTTTTTTCTTGCTATTATCTTATGGAAGCTATTATCCCCACACCTTTCAGTCTGATTAGCTTGTGCTTTTCAGATCAGCAAATATGTGGTCATACTAAAATCTGTCTACTTATGTGACAGGTTTTTGACTTCCAGTTGCCAGCAGAGGACATGGCAGTTCTAGAGAGGCTGAACAAAAATTACCGATATGCTACGGTTCATATGTAAGTAACCTTGGAAAATACATCACGCAATTCATTTCCTGATGGTGAATTTAATATGGTTGTTAAGAGTTGCCTTAATACTGATTAGTGGGGTCAGTGTGAGATGGGAGCTTTGGGGAACTCTGGTCCCAAATTCTTCACAGAGAACTCTTACATTAACAGGGTGCCTGCAGCCAGGGTTAACTTGAATCACTGCACATGGGCTTCTGTATTTGTTAATCCACAGACTGCATGTTATCCATTATTGCTAACTTCATACCAAAATGTAAACCACTGTATTTGACAACTATACAGTAGATATGCATTATGGGTTTTACTGGAGCCTATTTAGAAGGGTCCAAAAATTTTAAATATTTTTATTGCTTTATATTTGTGTTGTTTTTCAAGTGTGGAGACCTAAAAACTATGTAGTGAGCTACTTTGACATGGAAGTATATCCCATAATTCTGTCCTTTTCATTTCTAAATTAAACATAGTGTTTTACATGATGGACAGTGAGTTAAAGCTTAATGAATTATGAATTTAGGATTACCAGCACTAAACTGTATATTCTTACATATATACATGTATGTATGCATACTTACATACATATGTATGTATAATACATCACTGGTTCTCAACTTGTGTGTCACACCCCTATGGGGTCAAATGACACTTTCACGGGGTTGCATATCAGATATTCTGCATATCACTCCTAACAATAGCAAAATTATAGTTATGAAGTAAAAACAAAATAATTTTATAATGGGGGGGAGTCACCACAACATGAAGAACTGTGTTAAAGGGTCATAGAATTAGGAAGGTTGAGAACCACTGGTCTATACACACATACATATACATTTGAATCATATCTGTAGAAATGCTGTACACAAGTCATCATCAGATTCCGATTGCACTGAATGTTTGAAGTAAGAAGCGATGACCTACTGCTTCAGTAAACTGGTGATGTAGTTGATAGAAAAAAATATGTTCGCACATGTGAATGCCTAGGCTCCATTATCTCCCAAGCAGGGGAACAAAAGTAAGATAGTTTTGTTATGGCTAACAAATATTTACTACGAAGTCATTTTGTGCCAATAAGACAGATTATACAAGCAGTAAATAAAATCCTTCTATTGTGATATTGGTCAGGAGAGTCATTCATTCTACAGTCTGAGCCTGCACTATACATTTCTTCACCATTTCAGTACTTCTGCTCACCCCAATTATCCGTATTCGGATGAATATTAACATGGAAGCCTTTGTCATGACATCAACCCAAAGGGAGCAATGCGTGAGATGCTGTGAACGCTGATCAATGTCACCTCTGGTCGACGCTGACATCACCGTCAACCCACACTGAACTGGATTGGGAGGGTTGAGCATGGTGTTTTTGTGATACTTTGAAGACAATAAAGTTTTGGTCTATGAGGTACATGTAACCGCCACTCCTGTCTTTTATTTGTATGGTCTGTTTCTATCTGAGTCACTAAGGTAAACTAGAATTTGAGTGTTGACAGGGAAGGGAGTGAATAGCCAGCTTGGAAGGATTAGAGGTTGGGTGTGTGGAACTGAGGAGAGAGGACTTGAACAATCCTCTGCTTGAGATGCAGGGATATGTTGATAGGTTTACCATATAGACAAAAAAGAACTTTCCTCCCAAGAGCCAGAGTTGAGGGTTAAACCTAATGTCTTTCTGTAATATAAAGGGATTTGTCCCAACACTATGAGAAATTCATTGAGAGGCTGAAAACCAAATTAACTGACAAGTGAAAAACTGCTGAGTACTTTTTCTGTGTCCAACTTGCTTAGTTTTAGAAATAAATTTGGATTTGATATGCATTTCCTTTCAAATATTTTATTGATTATTATTATCATTGTGTATGATGGATGTTATTATGGGGACGTGCATGTAACAGTGTACATGGCAGCCAGAGAACAACTCAGCAGTGGGATCTCTCTTTGCATCATGAGTCCTGGGGACTGAAGTCTGGTCATCAGGCTTCTGTGACAAACTCTTTTCCCAGCTGAGCCATCTTGCCAGCTCTCTTTCAAGTATTTTTAAAATGAAACAAGTATATACATACATATAAAACACAAAATAATCTCAAATTCATTCTTTGTGATGTACTATTTAAATGGTAAACAATACATTTAAGACAAAGTCTTCAAACTTAAACCATTTGAAAACAGTGTCTAGACATAACGGGACACTTTCATTAGCCTTTTGCTGTCTCTTTTACAAAAGCGCACAATCATTTTGAATACATTCCCAAGGATAAAGTTTGAATCAGTGAGTTTTGAGGCACTAAACCTTCATTTCAGATGCTCTTTTTGCAAAGCACAAGACAGTGTCATGTGTAGTGGTCAAAAACAAAGGTTGTTAAGAACATGGATACTTTTTTAAAACTTATTGTATATAAATGAGTACACTGTAGCTGTCCTCAGACACACCAGAAGAGGACATTGGATCTCATTACAGATGGTTATAAGCCATTGGGTGGTAGTTGGAACTTGAATCAGGACCTCTGGAAGAGCAATCAGTGCTCTTAGCCATCTCTCTAGCCCTGGATGTGGGCACTTTTAACACAAGCTACCAAGTGCCTTTCTTATGGCAGGTTTTATCATGTCCCAGAGCAGTGGTTCTCAACCAGTGGGCCGTGACCCCTCTGAGGTCACATACCAGATATACTGTCTGTCATATTTACATAATGATTCATAACAGTAGTAAAACTACAGTAATGAATTAGCAACAAAATAATGCTATGGTTGGGAATCACCACACTGTG